AGAGTGTCTAACCCAACAGTGACTTTCATCTGTGGAGCACCTACTACGTACCAGGTGCCATACTAAGTACTTTATACTTATAACCTGGTCTAGGTCCCACCCTGTGGTAAGTGGCAGCCATCCTTTACCCCCATTTTCAGATGGGAAAGTTCAGAGAGGTGGGGGGCCTTGTCCAAGGTCATCTTGCAAGTGCTGATGACATGGAATTGGACCCAAGTCTGTCCAGTGGCAGAGTCCTTGCAGCCAGCCCCTGCACCATCCTATTCTGAGCCTCAGGCCTCAGGGCAGTCTGCAACGGGCATTCTGTGTCAGCAGTGTGGGGATCAGACGAGTCACTGGTAGCGAGGACTCTCAAAGATGGCAACACACTCAGGTCTCGTTCGCAAGGTACAAAGACTTAGGCTGCAAGCATGGGAAACACGCTGTCTCTTGGACATCTCAGTGAGCCCATGTCTCTTCTTGGCACTTTGGGGAGCTGCCATGTGTGGCAGCTGGAAGCCAGGCTGGAGTTGACAAGGAAGCCAAAGAAGAAGCAGAAACAAACCCCACAGGATCTTGGTTCTGAGTCCCCTATTGTGGCTCTGCTAGGACCTGGCCTCTTAGACTTGTGACTGCTATCATTGGACATATGCACCATTTGCTTCTGGTCTGTCCTCTGCTAGACTGAGTGCTCACTGTTTGTCTCATCATTGTATCCCTACCCATTAGCCTGGCACTGGTGAACATGTGTAGAGTGAATGAAAGAAGGAATATGATCTAGGGGGTTGGGGTGGGTGTGTCATAAAATTCAACTAGACGTGGAGGTTGTTCTGGGGAGAGTATGGAAGTCCAGCAGAGGGAGACTGCAGACATCTGCCACCCCAAGAAGATGGCATTGGATTGGAAGATCGAAGTGGGAATGGAAGTTTTGCAGGCAGGGTAGGGAATAAGAGCATTCTGAGGGAAAGAACTGCATGTGCAAAGGCATGGAAGAGGGAAGGAAGACACTGATGCCCCAGGGATGGCTTCTGATGGCCTCAAAACCTATGTCTGACACCAGGACACTGTCACAGGCCTTGGCTCCGTGGAGGCAGAGCTGAGCTGCCCTGAGACAAGGGTTTGATTGCTGTTAATAGAACCACCTGCCTCCAGGGCTCCAGGAGCCTGGGCTGGGCTCTGGAGAAGCAGTGCCTCATGTTGCTTAAAGCTTGTGCTCTGGGGACAGACCTGGGCTTGACTCTCTACCATCTTCTTTGCTTCCCCCTCCTTACCTGGCACCCGGAGTTGTCCCAAGTGCCCTGGACCTCGTCCCAGAAAACACAATGGGACAGGAAGGTGGTGATGCCGACTGTGAGGTCCCTGCCGGGAGCCGGCTCCAGGTCAGACTCAGGGATCACAGTCAGATAGTAGACACCTTCTCCAAAATGCAGGTCCTCTGGGCTCAGGATCCACGTGGACAGCTCGTCTGCAGGAAGCAGTGGGTACGGGGGGTGGGGGTGGGGGTCCAGGTCAGCTGAAGCCTCGTGGAAGCTGCCTCTAATGTGCTGGGAGCAGGGCACCAGTGCCTGGGCAGGGAGGCAGACCCTGACGGTCTCCCTGATGCCCCAGGAGTAAGGAGAGCAGGCACGCCCAGCTCAGTGAGCTGAGTTGGCCCGAGGAGGCACAGATTCTGGCTTTGCTCCTCCCTGGCCGTGTGACTGTGGACTAGTTACTTAGCCTCTCTGTTTGTATCTGAAAAGTAAACGTTTCATTCATCCTCATCCCCAAGGGCTGTCAGGAGGACTGCAATGAGGTCAGTTCTGTGAGTGCTTGTCAGCTTATTCAGGGCATATAGTAATTGTTCACCTAGTATCGCCTAATAAAGGTCAGCTGAAGCCTCGTGGAAGCTGCCTCTAATGTGCTGGGAGCAGGGCACCAGTGCCTGGGCAGGGAGGCAGACCCTGACGGTCTCCCTGATGGCCCAGGAGTAAGGAGAGCAGGCACGCCCAGCTCAGTGAGCTGAGTTGGCCCGAGGAGGCACAGATTCTGGCTTTGCTTCTCCTTGGCCGTGTGACTGTGGACTAGTTACTTAGCCTCTCTGTTTGTATCTGAAAAGTAAACGTTTCATTCATCCTCATCCCCAGGGGCTGTCAGGAGGACTGCAATGAGGTCAGTTCTGTGAGTGCTTGTCAGCTTATTCAGGGCATATAGTAATTGTTCACCTAGTATCGCCTAATAATAATAATCATACCACTAACAAAAATAAGTACTGAATGTAGCAAATGTTTTTTTTCTTTTTCTTTTTTTTCTCTATGGCTCTGATTTTCGAGTTTTAAGCTGGTCACACCCCCAGGAAGCAACTCAAGAGGCTGCCCTGGGTGGTGGGACTACCTGGAGCAGCCATTGGCAGGAGGTGAGCCTGGGCATCGTAGCTGGTCTCATTGGGGTGGTAGCCATAGCCCAGGCTGAGCGTGAGTGGGGCGTCAGGTCTCCAGTGAAGCTGGATCACTAAAGCCGCGCTGCCTGACGTCAGGTTCACTCGCAGAGCTTCAGGTCTGCTCAGGTTCAGCACGGTTGGCTCGCCGTGTCCAAGCCGAGGCAGCAGGATCTGTATTCAGAAACAGTCAAATCAAGGGTGTGCCAGGACAGGAATGCCTGTGAACATCAGGGAGAGCCCCTGGGGAGCTGAAATCCAGCCTGCGCTCTGCTCTTTCCATTAGTTTCCTGAGGCTGCTGTGACAATTGACCACAGCTTTGTGGCTTAGAACAACACAAGTTTATTCTGTTACAGCCCTGGAGGCCAGAAGCCCCCAAATCAGTTGCACGGGGCTACAGTTATCAGAGCTGTTTCCTTCTCGAGGTTCCAGGAGGGAGAACCCACTTCTTTGCCTTTTCCAGTTTCTTGAAGTGCCTGCAGTCCTTGGCTCATGTACCCCTTCTTGCATCACCCAACCTGTTGATTCTGTCATCAAACTGCCTTTCCCCTGCCCCACCCACCTGCCACTTAGAAGGACCTCTCGATGACACTGGGCCCACCCAGGTGATCTCTATTTTGGGATCTTTAACTTAAATCACATCTGCAGAGTCACGTCTTGCCGTGTCAGCTGCCGTATTCACGGCTCAGGGATGAGGATGAGCATATCTTCGGGGCCTTTATTCGGCCCCTGCTCCTCAAGCTGTGCACCCTGGCTCAGGGCTGCACCTGCACAGAAAGTGCACGAGGATGGCTCTGGGCTCCAGAGCACAGGCTCAATAGTGGTACACAGGCTTGGTTGCTCCACAGCACGTGGGATCTTCCTGGACCAGGGATCAAACCCATGTCCCCTGCACTGGAGATGAAACCCAGGTCTCCTGTATTGCAGGCAGTCTCCTGAATTGCAGGTGGATTCTTAACCACAGAGCCACCAGGGAAGCCCTCACTGAGAGGATTAAAAATGTTATTATGTACAAAATCCTTAGCCAAGTGCCACATACACAGTAGCACTCAATTAGTTGCTGCTATTCCTCTGCTTTATCCTAATATTAGAACTTCTCATAACCACTCTCCATTTAATCAGCTCTCTGAATTAACTAATGCCCTCTACCCACTATTTATTATTTAATTAAAAAAAATTTTTGACTGCACCTCAAAGGTTGAATCTGGGACCACAGTAGTGAAAGCACCAAGTCCTAACCATTGGACCACCAGGGAATTCCTCCAATCCTTTTTCTTTTTTTAAATATGCATTTATTTGATTGAGCTGGATCTTAGTTGTGGCATGTGGGATCTAGTCCCCTGACCAGGGGTTGAACCAGTCATTTGAACATTCTTTATCACAGCATATATATAACCAAATAATATATAGTTTTATGTTAAATTACAATGTTTGCAATGCTTATAGTAGGGTAAGGATAATTTTTCATGATTCTCTTCTTTTTTTCTTTTCTCTTTCTTTCTTTTTTTGCCCAAACCACGCAGCTTATAGGATCTTAGTTCTCTGACCAGGGATTGAACCTAGGCCCTCAGTAGTGGAAATGTGAAGTTGTAACTACTGGACCGCCAGGTGATTCCCAAGGATTCTCTTCTTTAGTCTTTTTTTTTCATAACCAGCTAATTTTGGACCCAACCAAGTTGAAAAAGAATTCAGAAGTGCCACCTGACTTCTGAGCATACCCCAAGCCTACCTCGATATACTCCGACAGATTCTTCACAGGGATGCGTTGTCCACTAGGACTGGTCAGAGAGAGGCCACCCACAGTTCCGCTGACATCAAAGTGACCTCTGGCTGGAAAGGGGCTCTTGGGGAAGCTCATCATCTGAAACCAAGAACAGAGAGCATTAGCCAAGGCCCCCAAGGGCTGGAAGATAACCAGGCCCCTGTGTGAAGGAAAAGGTTTCCCCAGATGGGTGGATAGGTGGCCCTTGCCCTGTGGGGTGAATTAAAGGGCCCTATTTTTAGCTGCTGCTATCTTTCCTGGTGTGTGTGTGTGTGTGTGTGTGTGTGTGAGTGACCTTCAAGGCTGTGACCTCAGAAATCTGGGCCTAGAGACCTGATCATACTTGCTACAGCTGAGCAATTACTGGACTATGAACAGTGTGATACTTTCTTCTAGCAAAGGCACAAGGTTTCTAAGAGAAAGATGTTTGTCTGCTTTCTTGGAGGCTCAAGGAGCCGAGAGTCAAATATGCCCTAATTTGGGAAGGAAATGGCCCTGAGTTTACTTTTGCCTACTTATGGAATGGAGTCTGAAGAGCTTCATTTCCAAGGACTAATTAAACCAGGGCTGCTGGAGAAATTCCATTATACAGTGGAAAGAGGATGGCCGGGGGAGTCAGAAGGCCTGGGTCTGCCACTTTGCTAGTCGCCTCAGGCAAGTCACTGAACACACCTGTAAAATGGGCTTAATTAATTGATAGAACTGTTAGCAACATGAATGAAAAACATGTGTGCCAGTGCTTTACAAACTGTAAAGGTCTGTTGCTAAGGGTGTTCTTTCTATTGTTACCCTTATGTCCACATGCTCCTGATAGTCCTCCTTGGAGCCAAGGGAGAGGGTAGCAGGCAAGGTGAAGGTCGCAGAACTGGCTGCAGCAATGTGCACCGTGGAGCCTCGCCAACTCCGGGGCTGTATTCTGTCCACAAGGTGAGAACGGAGGTGCCGGGAGAGAGAAGAGAAGGCCAGTGTCAGAGGATGATCTGCCCGGTCTAGCACTGCATGGGGACTAGCTTTAGCATCAGTGCCTCTTTCGAGATCCCCTTAGATCAGTAGTCCCCAGCGTTCTGTCACCAGGGACCGGTTTCATGGGAGACAAATTTTCCAAGGACCAGGTAGGGGGATGGCTTGGGGATGATTCAAGCACATTACACTTATTGTGCACTTTATTTCTATTATTATTACATCAGCTCCACCTCAGACCATCAGGCATTAGACCTCAGAGACCTGCCTTACTCAGATGATTCTGTGTTTGCATCAGTGGGAGCAGCATAAAAGGCAGGTGATGCCTCAAGGCTGGGCAGGTGGCCCCACGAGGACAGGGCTTTGGCCTGCCTTGTCTCCTGTGGCACCCCAGTGCCTAGGGCAGTGCCTGGCATGTGATGGTGGTCAATACATGTTTTGTTGAACGTAGACACTTCTCCAGACCTATCTCCCCAACCTACTTGACCTCCTATGAGACTGTCTTTCCTGGCCTTTAACCTCATCCCATCTGAGTAGACTGGGGACCTGGTTTCAGATCCTAGTTGTGATCACAGTGCTGCTCTGGCAAACTGCCCCTGGGATCCAGGAAGGCAGCTGTGGCAGAAGAACCAAGGGAGGGTGCTCAGTGCTAAGGGTCCCAAAAATGCCTGCAGCATCGTCTAGTCCCCGATCATCAGGGGGTGGCATGGAAGGGGGAGATCATTCCCAGCTGCTGAAGGAGGGCTCAGTGAAAGGAGGCTGGTACTCCTTGGGGAAATGCCTAAGGCCAGAGTGTCTGGAAGCCCATAGTCCACAGAGCAGCGGGCTTGCCAGGTACTGAGTGAAGTTAAAAGTGGGTTGGTCCCCCGCATTCAGCCCCCTTCGCTGCACAGTTCAATATGACCCATCTCTCGAGACACATGGGCGGCTCTGACACTGGCATGGCATTTAGCACCTCCCTTCCTATGCTGTACAAACCCGGAGTGGGGACCTTCTCTCAGTGAAAAGCCCTTCCCACTTCTAGGTCCCATCACTCACCCCCTGCCTCCCATCAGGTGGGTCTCCTGGGTTCTGCCTGTCCCAGGGTCTTGGGATGTGGATGTGGAGTGTACCAGGTCAGGGGATGAACTTCTTGGGGCACCCACAGTACAGCAGATTACCTGTTTGTGTACACAGAGATGGAGGGGGTGGTCACTGTGGCCGGAAGTCTCCCAGGTAGTCTCCCCAGCAGGAGGGCGACCTGCACGTGCTCTGCAGCTTCCAGCAGCTGGGACACTGTGGCCATCTGGAAAAGGAAGCAGGGGACCAGTGCTGTGGGCCGGTCTCCATATACCACCTCTGGCTGCTGCCACCAAGCTCATGTGGGCCTTCAGCAGGAGCAAGGTAGAGACTCGAATGGGGTGCACTGCACCAAGCACCCGGTGCTGTAGGGAATCGGGCATAAACACTGAGAAGATTCCAAGCTCTACAAGCAGGTGCTTTTACCACCCTGTTTGGCAGACGGGGAGACAGAGGCACAGAGAGAGTGGTGACTTGTGGAGGCCATGCGTTGATCAGGGGAAGCTGCAGAACCATGGGGAGGCTCACTGTGTGCCTGCCTCTGCTGCTCCACTGGACCCTGAGGTCCACCCTCAGCCCAGGTCTTATTCGAGGGGAAATGGAAAGTCATAGGCGGAGCCATTGCGTGGAGTCAACCAGGCTCAAACTACTCCCCCAAGCCCGCTCAAGCCTGGAGTGAAGATGCAGCCTTGCTGAAGCCAAGGCAGGCGTGAGGGCCAGGAGGGCTTGACATTTGTGCAGAGTCCCTATCAGAGCACAGATCATGTGTGCATGTGTACATACATCTGATACATGTGTGAATGTGTGTATGTGTGTGTTGAGGACGATCGTGTGTGAATATAAGTATTTGAGTGTGTTTATGTGGGTATGTAAACACACTCAAATACCTATATGAGTGTGTTTATGTGGGTATGTACTGGAGAAGGGAATGGCAAACCACTTCAGTATTCTTGCCTTGAGAACCCCATGAACAGTATGAAAAGGCAAAAAGATAGGACACTGAAAGAGGAACTCCCCAGGTTGGTAGGTGCCCAATATGCTACTGGAGATCAGTGGAGAAATAACTCCAGAAAGAATGAAGAGACGGAACCAAAGCAAAAACAACACCCAGTTGTGGATGTGACTGGTGATGGAAGTAAAGTCCAGTGCTGTAAAGAGGAATATTGCATAGTAACCTGGAATGTTAGGTCCATGAATCAAGGCAAATTGGAAGTGGTCAAATAAGAGATGGCAAGAGTGAACTAAAATGGACCAGAATGGGTGAATTTAACTCGGATGACCATTATATCTACTACTGTGGGCA